TCCCCAAAACCCCAAAACCCCAAAACCCCAAAACCCCATAGTATAAATAGGAGTGATAGTATTTAAGAACTAATTATAATTAATTAAATAGATGAAACACAGTGAAATGGCGAACTCCGCCAAAGACTTTTACATGAAGGTGGTGAATGAAGTCATTGAAAAAAATCGATAGTAATTCATTAACGAGAGTGTATCAGAAGATGTCCTTGAGAAACTCAAGAAAATCTGGGAGGAAAAGATCAATGAGAAGCTTACTCCAGAAGTTGACACTCGCTACAAAGATCACAATTAATATGCTGACCCTAATTTCATGATGCAACAAAGACCTGGATAAATCGGATATTGGCCATCTTATCCTCTGCAATTCATGAGTTATTAACAAAACTACATTATGAATATGAACATGAACATGAGAGGAGGGTACGGCTATCCAGGATACGTCCCGCCACCTATTTCTTCCGGTAATCAATCAGCCTTTCATCCTCCTGCTTAGCTCTAGCTTGGTAAAAGAGAAGATCATAGAGAGTCAAGTATTGATCAGCGAAAAGCTAAGCGCCCTAAATACGATAATAATGATGGTAATTCAGACGATGAATATGATGAAGAGGAAGAATAGGATGAGGATGAGGCACTTTTCAAACAACTTTAGCCAGACTAATAATAATAGCAAAACTAACAACAGTAAGCGAGCTTATCAGCTTAAAGTGATGCAAAAACTAATCAGAAAATTCCGGCTTAAAATGGCAATGGCTCAGCTGCCCCAGCAAATCATTTGCAGCAAAGTCTCCCTGTTAAAAGTGAGAACTAAAACTAAAGTGACCAAAGATAAAGTTTGCCCTTTGGAGCCCTGGAGGAAGAGAAGTCAGCCAATCAGAATATCTTCAGAGTTGAGCCACCATAGCCTCAAGAATAATAAGATAACGACAGTGATGAAGAGGATGAAGATGACGATATTGAACAAAAGATCAAGAATGAACCGAAAGATTACATCGCTGCCCAATATGAAAAAGTATAAAGAACTAAGCAGAAGTACAAGTGCACTTTCAAGGATGTTATAGTCCATATAAATAACAAGGACTTTGTGTTGAAAAAGCTGAAAGCAGATATCTTCTACTGATCCTTTCGCTTGTATTCCTGCCTATAAATGTCCGATTTACCCCTAAGTTATTCAATAAGATTTTAACCTTAATTAATTTTGCAACTAATCAAATTCACCCTAATTAATTTGATGGGGTTTTGGGGTTTTGGGGTTTTGGGGTTTTGGGG